ATACGGAACACACAGATACACTCTGTGGGCAGAATGCAGAGTTTTAGTATGTTCAGTCCGTACCTCGCAGGAAACATTACGTCTCGGCTACAGAGCCCAACCGATTAATGCTGTTTAGGGAAACAGTCGCTGTTTATTGTGAGAACCATACGGAACACACAGACACACTCTATGGGCAAAATGTAGAGTTTTAGGATGTTAAAGGGGGTGGTTAATTAAACCTCATTTCTGCAGCCCATTATAGCACAATGGCAACTGATTGTACCACACATTTTAATATTAAATACCCCTGTATTTTATGCACAGACGGAATTTATGTGTTCCATATAGTTCTCACAATAAACAGCGACGGTTTCCGTAAACAGCATTAATCGGTTGGGCCTTGTAGCGGAGACATAATATCTTTCCTATTAGGTACGGACTGAACTGAAATGAATTTCGCGTTTTAAATAGTTAAAATGAAGTCAGTGCAGTCTCAGGAGTCTGCGCATTGGGGCGAAGTTCACGAGTTATTTCACACTTCCATTATACCATACGATACTTGAATTTTTTTACAGCGATCGGGATCCTGCTGTGGTCTTCTGCGTTATAACGTCGTGTAATTCCGTAGTTTCGGAGGACACGCATTCTCTTATACTCCGAAAATGATGGTATCACTTTCCTCCGAAACGTTACTGTGTACAGTACAGCATGACTTGCCAGGAGACTGTAGAGAGCTTCAGAGTGTACACATTTTATTTTTATCTTTGCATCATATTTGTGTACACGTTCCGTCAACTTGGACGCCATGAAATGGTGCATCTCTGTTCAATTGTTTCCAGTTGCGTCACCTTCCCCCTCCCCCAGGCGAGCAACATGGCAACCTTCCTATAATTTCAGAAGACAGCTGCTTGTACAATGATGTCAGAATAAGAGATTCATCATACTGGTATTTATATGAACAGAGAAATAAAAAAGAAAATTGTTTTTCGGTTGGGGGGGGGGGAGTGGCGGTTTTGCTGGTCCTTTAAGTCGGGTATATACCGACTTCCCGATTGGGAGGTGATCACGCTAACACAAATACCGCAGTTCCTCCAGCCAACTTATGGATTTTTGCTCGAAATCGGATTTGTAACGTGGGGCCTGTCTTGCCTTGGGCGTAACACCATCAGAATGTATACAGCTTTCGTGCGTGCAGTAGGCTTAATCCTATATCGAATGCTATTTTTAGTGTTTTCATAACGACGGTTACAAGAATGCACCTGTGGTGTCCTTTCGTTTCACTGTGCCATGTTTCTTTACGTGGCACACATCTGTGGTCACATGGCACCCGGTTCTTGTGGTGCACTGATTTTATTTAGGTATGTGCCAAAATGCACAGCGTTTTCTCCTATTTTATTACTGCTACTGCCGCTACCACTATCTTTACTACCTTTACTACCTTTTCTCTCGTCTCCACTTCCTTTTCTATTTTCATGTTTCTGCAAGGAAGTCGGTAAATAGGTCACAAAAGAAAGTAAAACAGCTGTAATGGATTAATTGGTTTTCTGTATGTATCACTAGGTGGCAGCACAGCCCTGCTTCAGGACAATCTGGGTAACAGACGCGCATGCGCATGTTGAGAGGCTTGTTTCAGTGGTCAGAATTTTGAGCATGCTTGAGGATTGTACTACCGAAGAGCAGCGTTCCCTTCCTTTTCCTGGAGGATATAAATACGGGGCCGGCCCTCCAGGTTGGTGGAATTTCGAATCTGAGACAGTAAAATATGGTCATGAGTCCCGCGGGACTCGGACTTGATAATGACTGCGCTGGCGAGCACCAGCCTCAATTATAAAAAACAGACCCATTCTCTCGTCGGAGTGGATGTTACATAAGGACTGTGACCGCAAGTGTTCTGTTGGAACAAAATTACTTGGGAGGCTGAAGGGGCTTGTCGCCAAGACGAACTGATTGGTGCTAAACCGCCAGTCGTGAAGGAACCCTGACTCTGACTCTTCAGATAACCGAGAGAGAATCTTCAGGCAGACACAGTTGTGGCATGTAGATCAGTTGCTAGGCAACGACCGCGACACAACAGATATTGCTAAGTAACGACACCGCAAACAAGCATGTTTCCACGGCAACAGTGGAATACAGCAATAATGGAAGAGATTTTCTACGCCGTCCGTACCGAGATGTTAAAACCAGGACCAGTTAGCAGTTGCAGTTAGTTACGGAACTATTGGGAGGTTCAGTCGTTTTGATCTGTTGCTCTGAGAAGCCGGTACTTGAGATCGGGGACAGTTTTGGAACCCAGAGGAAGGAAGACGTTTACCGTTGGAAGCCGCTACAAAGCGACGGCAGTAAAGACTTGACTGTGGACACTAGTGCATATATGTGTGTAATAGTGAACACTAATATGTAGTCACGGGTAACCGAGTCCGGTTAATCCGATTACCAATCCAAACCCCGTCTATAGTCACTCTGTCACGTGACAATATATTTGTTATTTCCCGTCAACAGCAAGTTAGCCAATAGCTCGCTAGCTCGGGCTCTACTCATCCTTAGGATCGCCTCGTAACACAACATAAAACCGTTATCCGTGTTCTGCGGTCCACTCCACATGCCATGGCTTCAGAAATGCCCTTTGTGTTTCTGAGGGCTGTACTCATCCTTAGGATCGCCTCGTAACACAACATAAAACCGTTATCCGTGTTCCGCGGTCCACTCCACATGCCGTGGCTTCAGAAATGCCCTTTGTGTTTCTGAGGGCTGTACTCATCCTTAGGATCGCCTCGTAACACAACATAAAACCGTTATCCATGTTCCGCGGTCCACTCCACATGCCGTGGCTTCAGAAATGCCCTTTATGTTTCTGAGGGCTGCAGGATCAATAAAGAGAAGGTGGCTTGACGGTGCATTCTCTCCTGTACTGAAGAATACCTTGCAGCTGACAGTTGTCAGGCCGGTCAAAAAATGGAAAGGCTGCAATACACATAAGTACGTATTGTATCTCCTGGACGGTAACAGAACCCTCTGCCTCAGTGTTCCGATATACACGTACTAACTCCATGGAGCTACTCAAGAATTCCCCACTGTTTTATGGGACCCGAAGGTTCATTACCGTGCTCACAAGAGCCCTCCACTGTTCCCTAGCTGAAGCCAGATCAACCCAGTCCGTACCACCCTGTTCTCTGTCTCTTTAAGATCCAGTTTAATATTATCTATCCGCCCACATCTAGGTATTCCGAATGGTCTCTTTGCTTCTGGCTTTCCTGCTTGTAAAATCATATAAATATTTCAAAACTGTATATAAATTTCGAGAACGTTTTTATGTTCATAGAACTATAAACGAAAATATTTGAGCTAGTGGTTCCATCAATATAACGCTGGTTTTTGTGTCTAGTTCAGTAACATATTTATAAGCGTACAGCCTTTTTCTAAAAGTATGTTATTTTTAATTTATTAAAGTCTAGATAGAAAGCGAGAGATAATCGTGGGGATGTACCATATCGACAGCCTGGCACGTAATATATTCAGGGTCTGGGCTGTGCTTACTAGCCTGGGAGCCGAGGGAAAGAATCTATTAATTTATGATAGGTACTGAGTTTTGTAATCCAATATAGAGAAGGGACGCGGAATTTTTATTTGTGGTTAATTTCGGATAGCGTAATTTTGGAAAGGTAATTTCTGGGCCTCCAGAGTTAATTTTAGTTGTGATGAATTCAAATCGGTAGGGCTACATGAGAAGCCCGCAATTGCAACTGGGAACTTTGGAACCATCTCAGTATTTGCTTCAAGACAGAGGACAAAGCAACAAAACCTGTGACAAGATGGCCGATCAAAGTAGCTTTCGGGCACTTAGTGACGTCGAGATGTTAGTCCTGCAAGTGAAAAACTTTAGGGGTCCCATAAGATTTCCCTGACACGCGTATCTCAGTCCTGTGTCCCGCGGCCGCAGATCGAACAGAGAACAGCCAAAGATATTAAGTTACTCAGTACACTTACCAGTGCGTACGGTAGCCAGAGCCGCCAAAGCTATGTGCAAGTATTGTAGTAGGTGTTTTGGGGGCCTGATTCGATTCCTCATTTCTAGTATTTATTTTTAAATTACATGAGTGAACTTTAATTTTCCTTTTAATTTGAGTGTTATTCCTTATTTAAAGTACCCACTGCTGTGCGCTGTGATATGGACAAGGGCGGGAACAATATCCCAGGCGAAGAACGAATACTTTCTGCCTGTTACACAGCAACGTAACACACAAGAAGGTGCTTAGAAGTGTCAGTATTAGATGGCTGATTGAACTTCAAGGATTTAAGGGCGAAGGAGAAGGCAAGGACAAAATATAGGTCTACATACACTTCCTCGTAGCTCAGCGCTGTCTTATTTTGTGGTCTGCAAACCTAAACATGCGGAATGTTGACCCTTTCAGTCAACGGCCAACCAGTTTAATCCGTTTATGGAATTAATCGCTGTTTACTGTGAGAACCATACGGGACACACAGACACACTCTGTGGGCAGAATGCAGAGTTTTAGTATGTTCAGTCCGTACCTCACAGGAAACATTACGTGTCCGCTACAAAGCCCAACCGGTTAATGCTGTTCAGGGAAACAGTCGCTGTTTATTGTGAGAGACATACAGAACACATAGGTACACTCTGTGGCCAGGTATTTTAAATTTTGAAGCGGGTGGTACATGCAGTTACCACTGTGTTGTAAACATTTAGGAGCTGAAATTCTTTGATTTTTTACTGTATTTCCATAGCAACCAGTAATTCACATAAAATTTTTTAATAAGAACTGGAAACAGAAGGACACAATCAAACATTAAAACGATTCGTAGCAAACGAGGTCAGTTTTTTAACGAGATATGTCGTTTACGTCGCGTAAAGGGTTAATGAACGTTGCGTGTTAGTGTCCAAGCAGCCTGCCGACGAACGATTGACAGGTGATTGTCGTTCCTGTCTTTACCGACAGATGGCACTGGACATGTTGGTTATATGTAACATGTATTTGCAATGAGATTACTCTTTCTTGCAGGTTGTGCAAGGTCAATGGAATAGTCGGTGCAGTTTTCTTTCATCATCAACCAGCGCGTAACAGGAATACGAGTACATAATCCGACTTAGAAATTCACTTATCATCTTTAAGGTAAGGTTAGAAAATAAATCCTTGTTTATACTTTACTTTCCTGATCTTTGCTTTGTTCACGGCTCCGTGTTTCTGGATGTGATATCACACGAGCCGAAGTTGTGTCAGTTGTTCGTTATTTAACTTGGTTGTCAGTACTTCAGACAAGAAGACGTTGATTAGCAGTGGATAATAATTTCGAGAGGATATGAAAAAAAAAAGAGCTCTGATATTAGGTACTGTCCTGGACCCCCAAGGGGAACCACAAGAAACATGTCAGGAGAGTCGATCTACTGGCCAAGATTTGAACCCAGGATTTCCCTAATACGGAACAGCGGTGCTACTAGATCGACAGCGATTATCAGCCTCAAAGGCAATGACAAATATTACGCATACTTATGTAAACATAAAAATTCATTAACCCTACAAATGCCATGTGTCGAAAATTTCGGCTTTTATAAAAGTTACTGTACCTGACATCATGCGACATCTATTGGCATATTATCTGAATTACATAGTCATGAAACATTTAAATGGACATTCCCCTGTGTTTGGAGTGCTTCCCGTGTTTCTGCCTATGTTATTTACCCATGCTTGGCGCTGTAGAAATATACTGCATTTTTGATGATTTATTAGTTATCTCAATACACTGCGAACTCATCTGCAGCTTAATCAATACTGAAACCGCGAAGTTACTGTTTCAATTAAGACAAAATTCGTTGACGTCATAGATACCGACTAAAGTAATCTCATTGGTAGTGAACCGAAGAAATTGCAGCGCAAAGTTTCTCATCTGTTTGCAAGAAGCAGAGCGAGAGAGAGAGACGTCCGAACAATGCAAATGGAGCAGAAGACTACAACTCGTGTCTTTTGTCACTGCTCTAATTATATCAGAGATGTAGCTGGCTCCCCAAGAACATTCGATTAACCATTTCTATTGACTTCACAGCGCTGTCCTCACTACCACTGCTTTCGCAGTCTGACCTCGTGTGACTGATAACAGCCTGTGACCCACGACGGCCCTCACTCAGTCCAAGTTATATCTTTTGTGGGACATCTTGTGGCGCTGTCAGTGTCTGAATTAGTGAGTCTGGAACGGGGTCCACTCAGCCTAGTGAGGATAATTGAACTATTTCAAGGAAATAGCGGCTCCGGTCAAGAAACTCGAGATTAACGGCCGTAGGGATCTGTTGCACTGACCACACGACACCCTCTATCTGCTAAAGTTGGCTCTAACTTCGCCGACAAGAGGCGGTCGCTCGGTCGGTATACTTCGCTTGCGGACTAAAGGCCACGAAGTTTTTGTTTTGTCAGTATCTACACTACACAGCGTGGCAAGTCAAAATTGATTGACGAATAGTTTATTGGAAAGGATCTGGAATAAGCGGTCGTAGCATAATGGAGCTACAGTCCTCACATTTATTTGGAGGGACTGAGGAAAATAACATGACGCGTCCTTGCTGAGGTTCGAGTCATGCACCTGTCGAATACAAATGTGGAGCTTTACCGCTGCGCCAGCCTGTTTGTCGAATACAGATGACATAGGGTAGACTGGCATTGCAAGATCTGTGATTTTCACAGCTGGAATAAACAAAGCCTCGTTCCCAGGCTCACTAAATGTGCTGCGATCCATGGTAACTTTGTTGAAAAGTAAATAAAGGTTTGTTGTAAAAGTGCTACAAGTGAATCCTTGCCAAAAAATGTTTTACAAATATTTTCTGGACTTTGTATCTTTACTTTCGGGATATCCTTTGCGCGCGCGCGTGTATGTATGTATGTGTGTGTGTTTATGTGTTTGTGTGTGTGTATCACGTACACTGCGTCACTTGTCCGAAGACAATAGTCTCGAAATCGACAGTGCTTAATGAAGATTTTTACTTGAGCTATGGGTTGATTTTGTCTGTGAGTGAAATGACTTAGGAGTCACGGAGAAGCAAGGCGTCTACACAGTGTGAAACAGCTCCCTGTACTGTTGCATGACGTGGAGGCAAAATCAATATTGCTTGATAACAAATGTGTGGCATATGCGGTTTTAGGCTGGGGTGTGCCGAATGTCGAGATACGTGTATATGCTGGCAGATTGCCTGAAATATGCAGCACCTGGATCTTCTTACCTAGGTCGACTGCTCTCGTAAAACCTGAAGACCAGCAAATTCACTAACATGGAGATGCGCTTAATTGAATAAGTACGAGTCCATGAAGACGTACGGAGAAGGGGGGGGTATAGCTTCACCATTATTGACCTCGGAACTAGATGGAAGTGAGTGGAGAGCTTCACGCCTCGGCTGCTTTACCTGAGGGGAAATCGCCCCCCCTCGGTTCTCATTGGTTAGGAGGCTGGGTGGGCCCCAGACCTAATCTGGGTACTCTGGATAAGAGAAAAAATACCAATTCACAAATTATATGACTCCTTAATTATTAATTAATCATGTAATTAACACATTAAGGAATGGACTAACAAACTGGCTAAAAAAATGGCGAAGTAATGAAATAACTAAGGAAGTACCGAATTGTCAGCGAAATAACGAACCAGGAAACAGGCGGATGAGCTGCAACCACCCAGGAGAATCATCCAAGGCTCTGTGAAGAAGAGAAAATCTTTTGCCCCTTTCAGGAATCGAACGACGATTTATTAGTCGTCCAGACTGTAGCCCAGACAATATAACGACTGAAATATCCTGGTTCGAAATAAATCATAAATAAGTAAAGTGGTTGGAGCAAAAAATATTCATGGCCTGGTTTGCGAGGGTTGTTTTCTTAAATCAGCTTTAATAAGTTTTCAAGTTTGTGTGAAGTCAACTGCATATCGCTGTAGATACAGTTCTCTTCCATTAAGCGAAAGCATTAGACCCGCTGATTCTCCATTACTTTAATATGACGGCCTTTCAAAAGAAAGTCTGGAAGTAATTTGATTTGTTTATTGCTTTTCGCGTTTTGCTGGGGAGCGAAATGGCCTCCAACGTTAGCGTCGTAACTAATTACAGTTCCTTAAACCTCTGAAGCACGAATTTCTTAAAAAAGAATAAATTCATGCCTCACAGGAAACATTACGTCTCCGCTACAGAGCCCAACCGGTTAATGCTGTTTAGGGAAACAGTCGCTGTTTATTGTGAGGACCACACGGAACACACAGATACACTCTGTGGGCAGAATGCAGAGTTTTAGTATGTTCAGTTCGTACCTCACAGGAAACATTACGTCTCCGCTACAAAGCCCAACCGGTTAATGCTGTTTAGGGAAACAGTCGCTGTTTACTGTGAGAACCGTACGGAACACACAGATACACTGTGTGGGCAGAATGCAGAGTTTTGATATGTTAAAGCGGGTGGTACATATACTAACCACCGTGACCTGAGAGGTTAAATAATCTCTTCATGATAACAGTAAGATAAATATTATTTTTTAGAAATTTATCCCACCCTGCAATTCAAAGTATCGTTTTGTATTATTTCTAAGAAGTTATGTTTAAAATAGGGTAAATGGGTAAAATTTTGCAGCGTTCTTACTGACGCTTACCTTATTTCGTGGTATGCTGTTATAAATTCGCCGTGAAATTATATAACATTTTCACAGTCAGTTTGAAATATTTCCAGTCTCCGCATCGAAGCCATGAGTGGAGAAATGTTGAAAATAAATGCGGAAACTAATTTCATGGCGAATTTAGCGTCGTTATATAACAAAATTGGATGGCTTCACTCTTATGACATTCCCGTTTTACCCGTTGTTTTGTATAAGTATGAAATGCATTTTTTGCCCTGCTTAAGAATAACTCTGACTCAATATTAAGGGACTATGGAAGCAAGGGGAAATGTATGTAATAAAAAGTTTCTGAAGGAAGCAAACGTAAGATTGCGGCAACAAGAAGCAAGGAATAAGCAGACATGTGTTTGATTCTAACCGTTGCTCGGCTTATTCTTTGATCCTGTAGATGATTCCTCCGAAACGTTCAGTTCTGCAGGACTACAGGAAATCACATCTCAGAAGACAACGAATGCTTTCAGACTGAAGCAGTAATTTAGGATCACTAAAGTAAGTATTATGGAGTCACGTGCTCGTACTTTCACCTCGCCTTTAGGACGTTGATACCACGGCAGAGCTCCTCGGAGGCTTCTTATGCGTTTATGTTTTCATTTTCACGCTCTTTTTCCATGTTCTTTTCTCTGTGTTCAGTGACAGATCAAAGCTCCAGCCCAGCTTCTAATCAGCGATTGTTATTTGTATTGTTTTGTTGCTGTGTTCAGTGATTGATGTACGTTGAAGCAGTAGGCATTACGTTGTTCCGAAGAGTCGGGGAAAGTCTATAGCGCTAAACTACGTCACGTCACAGATAATATCACTCTTCAAAATGAATTTAATTTGATGTCGACGGTCACAATTTTTGTACGTTTTTATAATATTGTCTATGTTCGCTGCATGCTTTCAATAAGATCTTAAGGATAGAAAAATATTGGCCCCTTTTAAAGGAACTGGCATTGTTTTCGCTGTTCTTGTTCCTATTGGCTCGCTCAGAACAATTTAGTAACGACCTACGAAACTACACGGCGTCACGTTCTAGAAGACGGTTATCCTCAAGTTGTTCTTTGTCAGAGATACACCTAAGGCAGGAAAGGTAAAACTATCTCTGTAACAGACCGTGGAGGTCCATAGGATTGTGAGACGTCGAGGCTCCCACGTGTTCTAGACAATCGGATCACAGATGACGGTGAGGTTGTCAGCTTCACGCGCCGGCCGCCCTATACACCCCAGGAAAATTCCTGGTACTCATTTCTGCTAGAGGTTGAGTCGACCCCAGGGCCGTAGTGCGGCTGGATTAGGTTAATTGAAAAATCCAGTGACTTTATCGGGAATCGAACCAACGACCATCCGGCTTATAGAATAGTGCCTCAACCAACTACGCTACCGCGTGTCCCTGTCCACGATACAACCACGTACACAAAACTAATTACAATGTTAAACATTTCCTTGGCGCTGAAAGCAAAACAGAACCAGCTGACAAACACAGTAACTGGATTACAAATCAC